GACATAATATATAACAATAGCAGAGTCTCGAACTATCATAGAAACTTGCCTATAACTGTTCTCACGTATAGTAAAAGACTAGCTGTCGCTATTGTCCAATTTTACGCTTCACTTTTCAGGTTCTGCAGTATAGCTGCAAAAAAGTCTTTAGAGTAAGGAAAACAACATCTTTTATTGACAAGACAGCTATTGATAGAGGCGAACGCCTTTTTAATCACGTGTCATTTGCCAACATCTGTCAGCATCCACCAACATCTTACTCTGTAAATAAGACGAGGCTTGCATTGCTCATGAAGCTTCACTAGGAAAGTAATAGCAAATTAGAGATTTGAAGGCAATACCGAGTTAGAACTTTGAAAAAATCACGACTTCGCAGAATAATGTTGACATACATATCAAAAATTTTCCAATATTTGAACAAAACGGCCGAAGGAAGTACCTTTTACAATAAGAAACCGAAAAAGAATCGCGAAAGGGATCTGGAATTGTTTGACTGCAACCGCAATTGTAATATGCCTGGCATCATGTTCGCCTTCGCCATGCTATACTCCGAAGAAAAATATTAACTCAGCATGTCCTGTCTTTTTGTCAAGTCACCTTCGATCCCTGCTGGAGCCACTTGCCTTACGAAATGGCTCATTATAAGCCGATAACGAAAATTTCACATCAAACTGTTCGTAGACGTCATCGCATGTAGGCCAGTTGGAAGGCAAGGAAGAACGACTGCATAAAATATACACCAACATCTGCTTAATGAGGGACTTTGGCTATGCTTCCTATTCTTCTACAGCGGCACAAAGTGCTATGATTTCTTCAGAATCACTGTCGACAGGGTTTACAACCTAAGAACAAACTTGATGGGAAATGTTTATCTTTTCAAGGTAATACAAACAAAAATGGAGGCCCCGAATTGAACACCGGGGAAAACAGTATCCTGACGCTGGTTTACCTTGAAGCGGAAAAACCATTGCTTACCTGGTAACTTATGCATAAGACGAGCAGGAAAAATAAAACAGCTTCCATTAATTCTTGATGCTAGCAATTGAATTTCACCTGGTTTTGTATGAGCCAAGAAAACTATTTTCAAATGCGAATAAGGAGATCCATTGTGTACACAGCGACGTTTCTGTCACTTTTTTGACACATTCTGTCGCTACGTTCTCGGCAAAATACAGGCAGGTGATGTGTCTTTTTCAGTATAAAAAGAAAAAAAAAGTCCTTTAAATAGGGTTCAGTACGTCGTTACAACAGTAGCAGCAATTATAACAAAATCAAGTAACGCTTTTATCAGTATCACGTTCGTGAGCAAGACACTGTAAATATTTAGGTAAAAGACAACTGTATAAGTCGACATGTAATCTCCCTTGGAGAGTAACGATGCTGAATCGGATACGCTCAATGAAAGAAATGTAGCTCTTCCTGAGGACACGTTCAACTCGTACCGGGGTTATTTGCTTAATGAAATGCTTCATTATAAACCAATAATGTTTTTTGTCCTGATAATTGTGAGTTTGATCTTATCAATTGTGTTTTTTCATGGTAACTTCGTATTCGTTGGGATTATTATCTTGCTCATTTTCCTCACATGCTTCATTTTAATAGTTCCTGTATGCCTTTTCAGGATGCGTATAAATGCTCGAGATTTCAAGATCAAGCTTTTGGTGGAAGTAATCACACGCAAGCCAGCGGTGAAGGGGAAGGAATGGAGGACAATTACATATAATGTGAATCGGTACATATTTGATCATGGGCTATGGAATACACCCTACTACTTTTACCGTGACGAAGATTGCCACCGTTATTTTCTACGCCTTATTGAGGGAAAAACTTTTGAGAAGCAAGAGAAGTCGTCAACGAGCAATGTGACGGACGGACAACGAAATAAAGGTGTTGAAACTTTCACCTTTCATTCCAAACCAAGTTTACAAAAGTGTCTTTCCAAGGCAGCGGAAATCGAACAACAATCTCAAAAGGATCACTGGCAGGAGCAATGTGCAGATATCGGTTTGCTTTTCTAAGGCAGAAAACACAAAGCTTCTTGCATATATTGGCTCTACTAT